CCAATCCATTTTGCTTACGGGAGTTCCTAGGTGTAGATAATTCCCAGATGAAAGGACAAGAGGACCCGAGTCTACTGGGTCTGGAATCCAGAGAGGGTCTTATGTTGTTAGTGGTGATCCCTGGAATGAGTTGTCTTCTCTGCATCGGGCTTTCTAGGGTCTGTAGGAAAGGAGGAAATGCACACCCCACAGTCTGAGGCTATCTAGGCTAGTGTGTGCCGAAGGGTTCCTTTTTTTCCAAAAGCATTCTCAAGCGGAAACAACTTTGTGGTTGCCTCAGAGGCAAAAAATGGCTAGTATCCCCCCATTTGGAGAGATACTGTCCCCCATGTTCTGGCTCAGCAGTTAAGTGGTTAAGTGTGCTGCTAGATGTGGGGATGGTTGGAAGGGGTACCGTTGGATCTGAGGCTAGTTAACCGTGCTACCGTCTGAGGATGGTGCTGGTATCAGCCTCCCCCTTCCTGAGCTTCCCTCCACTGAAGGCCTGGCAAGTGAGACCACAAAGCCTTACCCTGATCCTCATCTATTCCTGGCCAGGGCAGGGAATCCACCCACCGGGATTCAGGCACTCCACTGACTGACAATAATCATAACACCAACTCAGATCGATTAAGATCTTGTGTTATTCTAAGCTCTTTACATGCATTATCTCATTTAATCTCCCAACAGTCATATATATACATGTGATAATTATCCCATGAACATCTGAAAACTGAGGCACAGAGAGGTTGAAAACCTCACCTAAGGGTATTTCAGCCAACCAATAATAGATAGGACCCGCTTTCATAACCACTGGTCGTTGTAAGGATCTGGCATCTGAACCAAATAAATGAAAGAATGAAAAGAAAGGAAGGAAAGGAAGAAAAGAAGGGAGGGAAGGAGGTTGGGAGCCAGGGAGGACAAAAGAACAAAAATGAAAGGAGAACCTGACTAGTCAGCGAGGCAAAATGCAAAACAATACAGAAAGACTGCTTAGGAAAATATTAAGTTTAAATCTCGAAGAACAAAGGTTAGTTTTTGTAACCTGCTTTTCTGGGTCAGCTATAGATGCTGGGTGCCATTGCCAAGAAGTTCAGAGCCAAGTTTGAAATTTGATCACAGAAACCGTGGTTAACCAGTATGGGTGAAATATTTGTTATCTTTGATCCTGATTTTCTAGTTATGTTTATGTTTTCCTGGCTCAATGTCTGTGTCTTTTGTTGCAAGCTACCTTAAATCCTTTGTGGAAAGAGTAAGGGTGTATAAATGAGCTAAAGTATACTCAGAGCTCAAAAGAATACATGACTCCTATATGTCTTGGGCAGTGGGATAGTTTGCACTTTCTCTTCAGGAGACAATGCAACTATGTATCTATCCCTTACCCAGTCTCTGGAAGCTTGAGTTGGAAAGTTGACTTCTTCCCTTTCTTTATCTTGAAATATTTCGACATATAGACATGCATGTAGAGTAGTAGTATCTCAAATAAATACCCTGTATCCACCACCAATCGTAACATGTTAATATTTTTCCACACGTGCTTTAGATTTTAAAAATAAAGCTTCACAGGGTGCCTGGGTGGCTCAGTTGGTTAAGCGTCTGACTTTGGCTCAGGTCATGATCTCACGGCTTGTGAGTTCCGGCCCCACGTCGGGCTCTGTGCTGACAGCTCAGAGCCTGGAGCCTCTTCAGATTCTGTGTCTTTCTCTGTCTCTCTCTGCCCCTCCCCGCTCACACTCTGTGTCTGTCTCTCAAAAATAAATAAATGTTAAAAAATTTTTTTTAATAAAAATAAAAATAAAGCTTCACAAATAAAGATAGAGCCTCTGTGTACTTCATTCCTTCCCCAGAGGTAACCACTATTCTGAATTATATGCTCATTATTCATTCATGGTTTTTTTTTTTTTT